AGCTTGTGACAGAAATAGCTAAGTTAAAGTCAAACTTTACCTATCAACAGAGGCATTTAGTATATGGACGCTAAAGGCCTCCAACTATCCAACTATCATACAGTAAACCGATGTGAAAAAACTAAGTCTATATTACATCAATATAATAAATGTATTTAATATATTCTTCAATAAGCTGGGCTATTAATCACAAAGCAACTGGGTATACACTACACTATAAAATGAGTGTCTTTTAAGCTTGGTGAGAGGCATGAAACGTCTTGACAAAGGAGTTTACGTATCAAAGCAGGGTAATTTAGCATTGAAATAGCTGAGGGATTAGCTTGTGACAGAAATAGCTATGTTAAAGTCAAAGTTTCCCTATCAACAGAGGCATTTAGTATATGGACGCTAAAGGCCTCCAACTACCCAACTATCATACAGTAAACCGATGTGAAAAAACTAAGTCTATATTACATCAATATAATAAATGTACTTAATATATTCTTCAATAAGCTGAGCTATTAATCACAAAGCAACTGGGTATACACTACACTATGTAATAAAAACCACATAGTAAACCAATACAAAACTAAAATATATACCACAATGTTATGAATAAACTCTATATACTCTCCAATCAGCTGAGCAACACAACAATAAGTCGTTATATATCACAATGCCATATGGCGAAAAATGGCGGTTTTCCTCCCCTCAACGCCAGCACCACGGACTGCGAACGAGCCCCGTTCAGACGGACGAGTCAATCCATGCTCGGAACGGAGGAGGGAGGAGAGAAACAGCCACAATGCGCTGTTATACTCCATGTTATAAACCATACCATTAACCGTGGTGTGAGAGGTATTAAGAGTCAATGCCAGCGAAAGAGCTGCGATCTGACAGTCACAGTAAAATACAATTAATTAAGAATCGAAATGGTTTAAACAATCTTTCCAATGGTTACTAAGCCAGAATCCATCTTCTCGGTTGAAATTGTCTCTGTGCTTGTATATGTGGATGGCCTCATGAACGAATCTCTCATGGTAGCCGGTTGGCTTGCAAAGAACCTCCGTCTTGGAGAAGTCGATGTCATGTGAACCCACTGAATTATAACAGTGATCTGCCACGGCAGAGGAGTTCGTTCTACTGTGTTTCAAGTCTGCTTTATGTTCGCGGATGCGGTCAGAGATATGTCGTTTGGTTTCTCCAATGTAGTTGCTACCACAGAGGCACTTTAGTTTGTAAATGCCCGGGTACTGTATGTCTGGAACAGCATCTTTTACAGATGGAACCAGATCACGGATTTTATGTACTGTGTTGAATCGGACCTGGATCTTGTGTTTATTCAGGATTTTGGAGATCTTTTTAGTGACCCCTGCAATGTAGGGTAAGGTGATGGTTTTGAATGGCTCCTCAAGAGGATCCTTCTTCATGACTGGAGTGATGGCTTTGCGGATTGTGTAGTCGGAGTAACCATTAGCCCTGAGAGCCTGGTGTACGTGCTTGAGTTCACTGGCAATGTGTTCCTGGTCGGAATGCATTGGGCTCTATGGTATAGAGTCTTGATGAGGGAGTTCTTCTGGGATGGATGGTGGTGGGAATCCGGTTTCAAGTAAGCATCTGTATGGGTAGCTTTCCTGTAGACAGAGTGGCTCATTGAACCATCAGGGCTCCTTTTAATTAAGACATCCAAAAAGGGTAGCTTGCCATCTTTTTCGACCTCCATGATAAATCTGATGGCTGGGTGTATGGAATTGATGTGGTCGAGAAATTGGTCTAGAGCAGGCTGGCCATGTGGCCAGATGACAAAAGTGTCATCCACGTACCTCTTCCATAAGGTCGGGCGTAGAGTGGCAGTCTGGATGGCGTCAGTTTCAAAATTTTCCATGAATACGTTGGCTACAACCGGAGACAGGAGGGAGCCCATTGGGGTACCCTCAGTCTCTTTGTAGAAAGTTCCATTCCAGGTGAAGTATGTGTTGGTTAAGCAATGTCTCACCAGGGGGGGGTACATCAGTATGCAGTCCTTGATGAACCAAGTCTTCAATGATTGCGATGGTGTCAGGTACCGGAACTTTGGTGAATAAGGACACCACATCAAAACTGACAAGCAGGTCGTCTGGGGACAGGGAAATGCCTTTGATTGTCGATACCAGGTGAGTAGAATTTAGTACCGCAGAGGTGTTTTTTTCCAGTGAAAGGTCGCAGTATATCAGCCAGAAAACGTGCCAGTTTATAGGTGGGGGAGTTGATAGTAGAGACGATGGGACGAAGGGGGTGTATCTTCTTTGTGTATCTTTGGTAGGCCATATAATCTTGGTGGTCTGGCAGCAGAGGGTTTGAACGAGAACTGTTTGGTCTGATCAATTAATGCTGTTGAATCGGAGATGATTTTGTTCGTTTTGGTAACCAGGCTGTTGGCGGGATCTCTTTTTATTTTTGTGTAGCTGCCATTGTTGAGTAGTTCTTGAATTTTGTTGTTATATTCTGTTTTGTCCATGATGACAGTGGCATTGCCCTTGTCGGCTGAGAGGACGACAATATCACCTCTCTTTTTTAATTGAGATAATTCAAAGCATTCATCTTTGCTGATGTTGCTAGGTGGCATCCAAAAAGATCTCCAATATCCTGAATAAACACAAGATCCAGGTCCGATTCAACACAGTACATAAAATCCGTGATCTGGTTCCATCTGTAAAAGATGCTGTTCCAGACATACAGTACCCGGGCATTTACAAACTAAAGTGCCTCTGTGGTAGCAACTACATTGGAGAAACCAAACGACATATCTCGGACCGCATCCACGAACATAAAGCAGACTTGAAACACGGTAGGACGAACTCTTCTGCCGTGGCAGATCACTGTTATAATTCAGTGTGTTCACATGACATCGACTTCTCCAAGACGGAGGTTCTTTGCAAGCCAACCGGCTACCATGAGAGATTCGTTCATGAGGCCATCCACATATTCAAGCACAGTGACAATTTCAACCGAGAAGATGGATTCTGGCTTAGTCACCATTGGAAAGATGTTTTAAACCATTTCGGTTCTTAATTAATTGTATTTTACGGTGACTGTCAGACCGCAGTTTTTTCGCTGGCATTACCTCTTAATACCTCTCACACCACGGTTAATGGTATGGTTTATAACATGGAGTATAACAGCGCATTGTGGCTGTTTCTCTCCTCCCTCCTCCGTTCCGAGCATGGATTGACTCGTCCGTCTGAACGGGGCTCGTTCGCTGTCCGTGGAAGAAAACCGCCATTTTTCGCCATATGGCATTGTGATATATAACGACTTATTGTTGTGTTGCTCAGCTAATTGGAGAGTATATAGAGTTTATTGATAACATTGTGGTAGTATATATTTTCGTTTTTTATTGGTTTACTATATGGTTTTCATTATATAGTGTAGTGTATACCCAGTTGCTTTGTGATTAATAGCTCAGCTTATTGAAGAATATATTAAGTACATTTATGATATTGATGTAATATAGACTTGGTTTTTTCACATCGGTTTACTGTATGATAGTTGGGTAGTTGGAGGCCTTTAGCATCCGTATACTAAATGCCTCTGTTGATAGGTAAACTTTGACTTTAACATAGCTATTTCTGTCACAAGCTAATCCCTCAGCTATTTCAATGCAAAATTCTCCTGCTTTGATACGTAAACTCCTTTGTCAAGACATTTCATGCCACTCACCGAGCTTAAAAGACACTCATTATATAGTGTAGTGTATACCCAGTTGCTTTTTGATTAATAGCCCAGCTTATTGAAGAATATATTAAGTACATTTATTATATTGATGTAATATAGACTTAGTTTTTTCACGTCGGTTTACTGTATGATAGTTGGATAGTTGGAGGCCTTTAGCGTCCATATACTAAATGCCTCTGTTGATAGGTAAACTTTGACTTTAACATAGCTATTTCTGTCACAAGCTAATCCCTCAGCTATTTCAATGCTAAATTATCCTGCTTTGATACATAAACTCCTTTGTCAAGATGTTTCACGCCTCTCACCGAGCTTAAAAGACGCTACTGATCTTAGCAACGCTCATTGAAGCACTGTCGTCCCGACAGTTCTGTTCTTTCACCTGATGAAGGCTACTTGTGTTGTGGCCGAAACGTCGTGAGAATTTTATTGTCTTATTTTATTTTATTATTTTATTCTCATTCTATGTTACTTTACCGAAATAATCAAAGGAGAATGAATTCATTGTTAATTTAACTACTTTAAAGTTGATGGATGGGAAATATGAATAGCGCTGGCTCACCCCCGGGGCTTATCGCATGGTATCTGGGTACTTTTTTAAACTTAAACCCCACAGTTTGAGTTATATCTGTCGCAAATTGCGTACACAGGCAGACAGACGGACAGACACACAGACAGACAAAAAATGACTTATATAGGGAAGATTGCTCTTAATTCCATGTGTTAAACACATCTTGTCATAACACATCCACATAACATCAGAGATATCTACGAACTTAATTCTTATATGTTCAAGTTGATTTTCTGCATCTCGGTGCATGTCTATCGAAATGACCAATGCCTCAAAACGTCTGGCAGTTCATTAACATCGGTTCGAACAAGAACGACTGTGCCAATGAAACACTTAATGTCGAAAACCGTGGCATTTTGTATCGTGTTATTGGATAGGTCACTTGTCAAAGAGAAGACAATAGACGATCTTAAACCTGAATTTGGAATAGGATTGGTGACGACAGTTTAGTGAATATCGGTCCTTATGCTGTTGAAGGGAATGAGAATACTGACATGTTTGGGGTTAGGCTGAAGTTTTCATGTTTGGGTGAGTGAGCACAAGGTTTGGCTAATGAGTAGCTCATTCCCTCTCACTACCACCTGCCCAATCACTTCCTTCAGCTCATTTCCTCGACCACCTGCCCAACCCCCTCCTTCAACTCGAGTTCACAGGTGTGCATTGAGTTCATCGGTGTATGATAACTTTACCGGTGTGCGATGGGTTCACCGTTGTGCGTTGTCTCGGACCGGTGCAGGGTGTCCGAGCTTCTACAGGGAGGCGCTGTGATGAATAAGTCCTTCCAGCCCCATGACGCGCACGTCCCGTACGTTCTGCAGTTCTTCATCGATTACAACCTCTACGGCATGAACCTCCTCAAGCTGGCTGCTGTCAAATTCAGGCGAGGGTCTCCTCCGGGTAAGACTTCACGCAGTGCACGTGTGGAGACATGTTGAACACGTTTCCCAATTTCCACTTGGTTACTTGATCGACTTTATTCAAACTTTGTCTACTCAGGAAAGCCTCACCGAGTCCCAAGCCTTCTTTAGGAGGTTCCTGCCAGGTATTTGCAGTTGGGGGCAGTGTTGCTGCTGCTGTGTGTAATCCCAATTTAGTATTTTACAGGTAATTTTTATCATTCAAATGTTTGGCCAATACCATTTACAGAATGGGACCTTTTTTGCCAGTATCAAAGTGTTGAGGTGCATAAGACGACTCTGAGACAGATCTTCAATAGGGGCTTGCACCAGATGTTTATTAAGGGCTTACACCTGAAGTTGGCTTAGGAATTAACACTCATCCCCAGGGGTTGTGGTCCTATGCTCGGTCCTTCACCCAGACCCACACTGTCTGCTCTATAGCACGGCTAGCTTCCCGGGCTCTCTCCTCTGTGTCGGCCGAGGGATCAGCCAACATCGGCCGACCGAGGAGAGCAGCCACTCCTAGCGCGATTGCCGGCTTCACCTCAGACTCCGTGAGCCCTACCCCTAGTTCACTCCTTTACCCTTCACGTTCCCGGGCTCCTACAATGACCCCGCTTACGTCACGGGCTCCGGCTTAAGTACCCCAGGGAGACATGACGTCTTCACCCCGCCCACCGCGCATGATGTCACATCTTGTGACGTCATCGCACCGGACGGTGAGCGTGATGTAATGTCCCCGACTACTCCTCTACATTACTCCCCCCGGACGGGAAGACATAACAGCACCGATAGAACGCATGTGATGTGTGCGTGAAGGCGGGACCAACTGCTAGAACCTGATGCCCAACATTAGGGCAGTACAGCAACAAAAAAGGTTTGAAGGCCTTCATCACACAGCAATGTATAACTGGTGACGAAGGCTGGAGGCTGATGAAAACGCCTGCCCAGGCCATCACCGGAGCCGCATGCCCCTCGAGCGGGTATGCGCTGCTTGGCCACTCCCTCGTGCGGCGTCGGGTGACGGCGCAGGTGGCTCACCCGCAGATGACCGGCCCGTCACCGGGGCCTCCGGTGGACGAGGTGCCGTCGCAGGCGTCACTGGCTAGGGCTCTGCAGGCGCACACACCGGCCGGACATTGCTCCTGCCATCCCGATTTGTGCGGTCATGTTTGTAGGACTCATTAATCACCGGCCGCTCAGGAAGTGGGGATGAGTCAACCAGGCTTGTTGGTACGTATCGCTTGAGGCGGGGACGGGTGCACTATCCAGTGCCGGCGACCGAACCGAATCCAAATGCATTGTGGCCGACGGACCTCCACGACCTCAACAGGCCCTGCGAAGGGCGATGCAATTTCGGAGATGTGCCAATTGGTACTTGGGGGCAGTGAAGCCATGCCTTCTGGCCCTTTTCCCAAGGCAGGCCGGCAGCTTGATGTTTGGGCAGGCGTTCTTTAGCCGCCTTTCGATTGGTCGAATTGTCGACAGCGGCCTGCCGTGCCTTGCGCAGCCAGTCGAGCGCGACCTTCATTGGAGTGGGCACTGACGACCCCTTTTTAGAAAATCCGACATCCATCTTTACGTGCATCGGGGGCTCTGGTTCCCTTCCATACATTAAATAAAAAGGCGAGAACCCCGTTGAGGCATGAGGAGCCAACCTATATGCAGCCAAAACCCCCAGAATGAACAGGTCCCAGTCCGATTGGGACGTATTCACGTGGTGGCACAGCATGGACATGAGGCTGCGGTTCAACCGCTCTACCATCCCGTCGGACTGAGGGTGGTAGGGCGAGGTGCGGATCTTCTTGGCGCCAAGGAGGTCGCACACCTCCTTGAGCAACCGAGAAGAAAAATTCCGCCCCTGACAGTTAGCAACTGCTCAGGCACACCCTTGTCCAGAACGTACCCCTGGACGAACGCCTCGGTGATGGAAGAGGCCGATTGGTCCACCAGAAGCCATTCTATAGGCCAACGTGTGAGGTATTCAACCCCCACCAAGAGGTATCTGTGGCCCCATTGGGATGCTGGGAATGGGCCCAAAATGTCTAGTGCCACGAGCTCATTGACACGAGAAACCCGGATGGACTGCAGCGGGGCCCGATCTTGACCAACTGGGGCCTTCCTCCATGCGCAGTCGTGGCAACCTTTCAAAATCAGTGCCACATCACCCTCCACACCCGGCCAGTAGTAGTCCCGTTTAAGGGTCAGCAAGGTCTTATTGTAGCCAAGGTGCATAAGTTTCTCGTGAATGGCTCGGATCAATTTACCTCACAGGGCAGTGGGTACAACCACATAATAACGTTCCAATTGGGCATCCCAACGCATGAGGAGGCCATCATGCACAGCGATCACCGGGCCAGCCGACGGAGCTGAGCTCTGGGCATTTGGCCCAACACGGCATCGTAGCCTCAGCAGAGAGGAATCCTCCATCTGCAATTTGGACCATACCTCACGGAGGAGTCCCAGGCCAAAATCAACAGGTAACGCCACACCTGGAAGGGGGCCCGCTTCGGCCAATGCAACCAACTGGGCCACGGTGTCCCCTGGGGCCTTGCAGCGGCTAGAACCCAGGGCACAAGCGCACCCGCCCTCCGTGGGCAACCTGGAAAGCCCATCAGCATTTCCATGCTGTGCCCCTTTCCTGTGGATGACATTAAAGGGGTACTCTTGGAGCACCTCGAGCCAGCGGGACAGCTGACCCGAGGGCTGGTCAATCCGCAGCGAATATTGCAGGGCCGCATGGTCGGTTCGGACAGTAAACTGCCTGCCATACAAATAGGACCTATACAGCTGCACGAAGAACACTATGGCCAGCAGCTCCCTCCGGGTCACACAATACCGCTGTTCTGCTGGGGACAAAATGCGGCTGCCATAGGCCACCACCCTTTCAACTCCATTGACCACCTGGGCCAGGACTGCCCCAATGCCCGTGTAGCTGGCATCAGTATCGAGGAAAAACGGTTTATAAAAATCCGGGTACCCCAAGGGCGGGGCATCCGCCAAGGACGTGCGAAGCGCTGCAAACGCGGTCTCCTCCTCCACACCCCAGCAACATTTTTTTACCTTTGGCAGAGAGTGCGTGCAGTGGCTTCGCTATCGTCGCGAAATCGCGGACAAACTGACGATAGTACGATGCGAAGCCGAAAAAGCTACGCACCTCAGCGACCGATGTAGGAGTCGGCCACGTCCGGACACAAGCTGTCTTTTCCGGATCTGTGGCAACACCTGACGCACTAACAATAAGTACCAAATACTTCACCGATGGTTGCAACAAATGATACTTCTGGGGTTTGAATTTCAAGCCCGCAGCACACACTTTGACGAACACTGCCTCAAGACATTGCAAGTGTTCGTCAAACGTATGGCCGAAAACAATAACTTCGTCCAAGTAAATTAAACAAGACTCCCACTGCATCCCCGCCAAGACCAATTCCATGAGACGCTGGAAGGTGGCCGGGGCCGAATGGAGACCCATAGGAAGCCGATTGAATTTGAACAGCCCCTGAGGTGTGCGGAATGCTGTCTTAGGTCTAGAGGCCTTGTCTAGTGGCAATTACCAGAAGCTTGAGAGCAAGTCTAGGGTCGAAAAGAACCGCGCATCCGAGAGGGTGTCCAGGGAATCATCCATGCGAGGCAATGGATTAGCATCAGCCACCGAGATCTTGTTCAATTTACGGAAGTCGACGCAGAAACGGAGACTCCCGTCCCGTTTATTGAATAGCACAATTGGAGCACCCCAAGGGCTAGTGGATGGGGAGATAATGTCCGCTGCCAGCATCTCGTCGACGGCCAAGCGGACATGATCTTTTTCTGCCGGGCTAAAGCGGTGAGAATTTAGCCAAATAGGGGCCGAATTGCCCATATCTATGTGATGCTCCAGAAGAGTGGTGCGACCAAGATCGAATTTACTCTGACTAAACACATTGAACATCACAATGCGTTTGCGGAGCCGCTGGCGCTCCTCGGAGGATGACGAGGCATTCTCGTTACACAACGCATCGATCCATGATGCGTCGGTCCTCCCCTCGCGAAGGGCCCGGGGTGACATGCGCCAAAACGGCACCGGCTGAAACCACGATCGGCAAGGGCTCCGAATTTAGGACCTTTAAAAAGGGGTCCTGGCCCTCCGACATGGCCATCAAGGCGCCTACTAACCCGTCAGTTCTCAAAAAGTAATTGGAGGGAGACAAGAGGATACCTGTCTCCGGGGAGTCCAATTTCAACGGTATGCGCAGCCTAAGGGGTAGCAGGACTTGTGACCCCGGCGGAACGGTCACTGACACCTTGGTCAAGGCCCGCACACTGGCGGCAAGGGGGGACAGAACAGTGGGAGATTGCAGAAAGTGCAACCGACCCCTCTGATGGCATCTCTACACAACCTTGGTCTACAAGGATCCGAATGGGCATCTTGGTCAAAAAGTCAGTCCCCAAGAAACTGCCAAGGTCCTGGAGACTAGAATGGGCCCCATCAATTAATTTTCCCCAATCTTGACTGAAGCCACAATGTGGCCCAAAATGCCCAGACTGCCGCCAATTGCAGCAACACAAGCTCCCTGCACCGGCCGCAATGGCCCAACGGTGCATGGCAGCAACTGGAAAATGCATTCGGAAATGATCATTGCGGACGCCCCCGTGTCCACCAAGATCCGCACATCAACCCACTGTACGTACCCAGCCACCGCCAAGGACCCGGAAGCGGCCGCCACAACACGATGCGCGAGCGCATCTCATTGTTGCCGTTAATGATAAGTGTGATTTGTAGAGTCTCTTGTCTAACTGATCTAGTTCTAACCGATCTAGCCATCAGATTTACCATGGAAGTCGAAAAAGATGGCAAGCTACCTTTTTTGGATGTCCTAATAAAAAAGAGACCTGATGGTTCAATGAGCCACTCTGTCTACAGGAAAGCTACCCATACGGATGCTTACCTAAATCCGGATTCCCACCACCATCCATCCCAGAAGAATTCCCTAATCAAGACTCTACACCATAGAGCCCAATGCATCTCTGACCAGGAACACATTGCCAGTGAGCTCAAGCACGTACACCAAGCTCTCAAGGTGAATGGTTACTCCGACTACACAATCCGCAGAGCCATCACTCCAACCATGAAGAAGGACCCTCTTGAGGAGCCATTCAAAACCATCACCTTACCCTACATTGCTGGGGTCACAAAAAGATCTCCAAAATCTTGAATAAACACAAGATCCAGGTCCGATTAAACACTACATAAAATCCGTGATCTGGTCCCGTCTGTAAAAGATATGAGTCCAGACATACAGTACCCTGGCGTCTACAAACTAAGTTTCCTCTGTGGTAGCAGTTACATTGGAGAAACCAAACGACATGCCTCGGACCGCATCCGTGAACACAAAGCAGACCTAAAACACGGTAGGACCAACACCTCAGCTGTGGCAGACCACTGTTAGAATTCACTGGGCTCGCATGACATTAACTTCTCCAAGACTTAACTTCTCCCCCCAAATAAAAAAGTCTATGTTTATACTTTTTGCATTGTGTACAGTCTGGAAGCTACCCATATGGCAAATTTCAAGTTTGTTGCATGTCTGGAAGTACGCTAAACATTTTGAATAGACACACATGAAAGGTCATCCTGGATTCAAAACTGAATTTTGAAGATCACACTGATTATATTGGTAAAAGACAAAAAGAAAAATTGGTTTTCTGTATCGACACAAGCACTGCTTCCCCCCTATGTTCCGTTTGGAATTGATAAAAGCTACCATACTGCCTCTACTTGATTACTGTGACATCGTGTATAAATCAGCCCCAAGTACTGTACTGAAGAAGATTGATTCCATCTATCACTCGGCCTTAAGATTTACATTGAACTGCCCATATACAGTGAGGGGAAAAAAGTATTTGATCCCCTGCTGATTTTGTACGTTTGCCCACTGACAAATAAATGATCAGTCTTTAATTTTAATGGTAGGTTTATTTGAACAGCGAGAGACAGAATAACAACAAGAAAATCCAGAAAAACGCATATCAAAATTTTATAAATTGATTTGCATTTTAATGAGGGAAATAAGTATTTGACCCCCTCAATCAGAAAGATTTCTGGCTCCCAGGTGTCTTTTATACAAGTAACGAGCTGAGATTAGGAGCACACTCTTAAATGGAGTGCTCCTAATCTCAGCTTGTTACCTGTATAAAAGACACCTGTCCATAGAAGCAATCAATCAATCAGATTCCAAACTCTCCACCATGGCCAAGACCAAAGAGCTCTCCAAGGATGTCAGGGACAGGATTGTAGACTTACACAAGGCTGGAATGGGCTACAAGACCATTGCCAAGCAGCTTTGTGAGAAGGTGACATCTTCTTGGATCTTTCGGTAAAGTCACGTAGAATGGAAATAAAATTATATAAATAAAACATAATTAAATAAAATTCTCACGACGTTTCGGCCACAACACAAGTACCCTTCTTCAGGTGAAGGAACAGAACTGTCGGGACGACAGCGCTTCAATGAACGCTGCTAAGATTTGCAGCGTCTTTTAAGCTAGGTGGGAAAAGTAAAGCGCCTTGACAAAGGAGTTTACATATCAAACAGGAGAATTTAGCATTATAATCGCTGTGTTAAAGTGTTGGATCAGCAGGGTTTTAAAGTCAGAAATTAGCATGTAACTGGGAGATTACCATGATGTTAATGTGAGGGATTAGCATGTGACTGGTCACAGAAATAGCTATGTTAAAGCCAAAGTTTACATATCAACAGAGGCATTTAGTATATGGACGCTAAAGGACTGCAACTACCCAACTAACATACAATAAACCGATGTGAAAAAACTAAGTATAAACTACATCAATATAATTAATGTACTCAATATATACTTAAATAAGTTGAGCTTTTAACATAAAGTAACTGGGTATACACTACACTATATAATGAATACCATATAGTAAACTAATAAAAAACTAAAATATAAACTACATCAATGTTATCAATAAACTCTATATACTCTCCAATCAGCTGAGCTACTAAGAATAAGTGATTATACATTATATTGCCATATGGCGAAAAATGGGTGGCGTTTTTTTCTTTTCAACGTTAGCACCACGGAAAGCGACGAGCTTTGTTCAGACGGACGAGTTCATCTATGTTCGGAACGGGGGGGAGAAACAGCCACGATGCGCTGCTCTGTCCTGTGTTGCGTTACAACTATGTTATAAACTAGACTACTTTACATTGCAATGGTATACCTTCCAATCTAAACTACATTGTATACTATCGTATACACAGCCCAATGTAAGCTCTAACATTATGCATTATATTGATATGTCTCCAACTAAACTTTTTTCTACATTACACGATTATACACCGTAATATACACTGCCATGGACAAACCCACCCTTGAATTATACAATGCGTTACTATACACTACCCTATACTTTAGACTGTAAAATATTGCTGTATATTCACTATACAATTACGATACTATATATTGCCTTATGAATTTTGTTAAACATTACAATGTTATACTATTTATTATTATACAACATGCGATAAACCATACCATTGACCGTCGTGTGAAAGGTATTAAGAGGCAGTGCCAGCGAATGGACTATAATCAATTACGAACCGAAATGGTTTATAACATCTTTCCAATGGTTACTAAGCCAGAATCCATCTTCTTGGTTGAAATTGTCTCTGTGTTTGTATATGTGGATGGCCTCATGAACAAATCTTTCATGGTAGCCGGATGACTTGCAGAGAACCTCCGTCTTGGAGAAGTCAATGTCATGTGAGCACACTGAATTTTAACAGTGATCTGCCACGGCTGAGGTGTTCGTCCTACCGTGTTTCATGTCTGCTTTATGTTCACGGATGCGGTCCGAGATATGTCGTTTGGTTTCTCCAATGTAGCTGCTACCACAGAGGCAACTTAGTTTGTAGACGCCCGAGTACTGTATGTCTGGAACCACATATTTTACAGACGTAACCAGATCACGGATTTTATGTACTGTGTTGAATCGGACCTGGATCTTGTGTTTATTCAGGATTTTGGAGACCTTTTTTGTGACCCCCGCAATGTAGGGTAAGGTGATGGTTTTGAATGGCTCCTCAAAAGGATCCTTCTTCATGGCTGGAGTGATGGCTTTGCGGATTGTCTAGTCGGAGTAACCATTAGCCTTGAGAGCTTGGCGTACGTTCTTGAGTTCACTGGCAATGTGTTCCTGGTCGGAAATGCATTGGGCTCTATGGTATAGAGTCTTGATGAGGGAGTTCTTCTGGGACGGATGGTGGTTGGAATCCGGTTTTAAGTAAGCATCCGTAAGGGTAGCTTTACTGTAGACAGAGTGGCTCATTGAACCATCAGGTCTCCTTTTAATTAGGACATCCAAAAAGGGTAGCTTGCCATCTTTTTCTACTTCCATGGTAAATCTGATGGCTGGGTGTATGGAATTGATGTGGTCGAGGAATTGGTCTCGAGCAGGCCGGCCATGTGGCCAGATGGCAAAAGTGTCATCCACGTACCTCTTCCATAAGGTCAGGTGTAGAGTGGCAGTCTGGATGGCCTCAATTTCAAATTTCTCCATGAAAACGTTGGCTGCAACCAGAGATGGGGGAGCCCATTGGGGTGCCCTCAGTTTGTTTGTAGAAAATTCCATTCCATGTGAATTATGTGTTGGTTAAGCAGCGTCTCACCAGGGGGGGTACATCAGTATGCAGTCCTTGATTAACAAAGTCTTCAATGATTGCGATGGTTCCAGGTACAGGAACTTTGGTGAATAAGGAAACCACATCAAAACTGACATGTTTACAATTTATGAGTAAAACTCTACTATCTACACATAGACGCAAAATGTAAAAACTTAAATATCTTGGGAACAGTAGCTAATCCGTGGTTTTAATTGTCATATATTGAATTCAGCACATCAAAATCCACAATAAACGGCACATTTAATCTCTGAAGCAGACGACGTCTAAAAAATTGTAGACCGGTATAATATATGCATTGATAGTATTGTAAATCTTGACTGAAAGCTTTTGTGACTTTGATCCAAAGAATTCATAATATTTGGTTCAAAGAACCTATCTACGTGACTTTACCGAAAGACCCAAGGAGTATTGTAAATGTTGTGTACTCTTCAACACACCAGTGGGCTGAAATAGTAACTATTTGTCATTTTGTTTACGTGACAAATCCCGTACTGATTGGTCATGTCGGGTGATGGAGGGTTTCGACACATTTATACTTAAGCGATCTAACCCAAAATCCTTTATTATGAATGATATTGGTCGCAAAAGCCTACATGTTAAACTGTATGTATATGAATTAAATGCCAACGTCGAGGTCTGCTAACCACGAAAAGAGGGCTTGAGGAGAGAGTTTGGGTAGTTTTTCTAGTCCTAGATTGAAGGAGCGCAAACTACAGTGGGTTTACTGTACGGCTCATAGTTCGGGTTGCTTGGCCGAAGTTGCACTGTGGCTTGTCTTAACTTACCATTCATGAAGAATATGTGATCATGGGCCTGTTGATGTTCTGATGCGGTTTATGGTTCCACCAGTGGTGAGCAGGTAGGTTAGTAGGTGAGTAAGTTGATGGATCCACCGGTGTTTTTGAGGAGGAATGTCAAAGCCAGGAAGGGTAATGTTTGGGCCTCAAATTAAGTGTTTATTCTGGACGTCCGCTTGAGGTATGATGAATCCTGACGTGCGCTTCACTATATGTTCAAATGTTTCTTCCTTCAGACAAACGAGGTGAAGTTCAAGCCAGCGGTCCTGAACCAAAGCCCACGGACACACATTGGGTTTTCAATTCGGAGCCGATGGAGGAAACGCAAACAAGCTTAATGAGATGGTGGCATACTGGCAGCATACCAAGGTGTGCATGTGCATTCGTTAGCATATCTTTGTAAGGTGACTGAATTATTGACTAAAAACTCTTATCTGCGACATACACATCATAGAAATTAGGTCATTATGCTATTGCAGCTCTTATAGGCTTTCATAGGCAGCCTTATTTTCAGAGTATGGATTAGACCATGTGAAGATATCCTGTTGGAGAAACATCCTATGCTGGCTGCCCTGCCTACATGATTAGAATATGCATTGAACCGGTCAAGCCACTTTGTGATGCAAAGTGGCTTAACCAGCTACGCCGCCAGCCAGCGGGGTAGCGAGTGAGGGCAATGGAACCATCCGGGTGATCGGCTGTGTGTAGCCAGTAGAGACGTTGATGCCTAGTGTGGTACTTAGTGTGGGAAAGGATAAGTGTTGGTCTGTGTAATGCCCAGTGTGGGTAATAAAGATGAAGTACCCTCTACATGACGTGTCGTGGAAGTCGCTCATTACACATTGATTAACTCTCGATGATTCGATATGCTAATGTGGCTGTCGGAGCGACTATGAGCAGAATCGATACAATAGACACCTCAATTCAGGTTCCACAAGACCATATATGGGCAAAGACGCCCCTGTGGGCAATGCCATGCCCACTTTATCCCATACATGGGCTGTGCCGCACATGCATTTTCCTCCTAGACAAAGAGCATTATAACGAAACGGCATTATACGAGGCAGTGCTATAAGAGGTGTGCCTGTATTCTCATTATTTGCATTTTCTGTAGTTGGACATTTACGAACGAGTTAATGTGATGTCATGGATGATTTTATAGCATGTGTATTATCTGACCAAGTGACTCAGCGTTAGATTGAGCCACTCACAATCGGAAGGCCACGAGTTTAAATCCTGGTTGATACAATGAGTTATATTTTGTGAGGACATTGAGAGCGCTTGTCCTACGGATAGCCTCTCCTCGCCATAGGACTGGAATATTTCACCAACGGCTCAGGGCTGTAAACATGATATCAACACCACTTCAATTATCATTTGAGCAGGAACTCACCTTGACTTTGTGAACGGTAGTGATCTGGTCGTACACAATCTCTGATATACAGAAATGTTCAGGCTCATTACTACAGGCTGTGTGTCGGCAAGCCATTTGCCAGGTGGTCCTGACCCGAGGATCTCGAGAGGTGACGTCAGAAGAGCTTTGCACACTCCGAACTGGGACACCACGAGACTCACCGTAAAGGTGGATGTGCCCTCCCGACTCTCCATTTACAGTTCGCTTTGGCTGGGTGAGGAGGTGACACGGCAGAGCCGCTGTGAGTTGGAGCTGGACGCTGTAGCAGCAGACATTCTCAACAGACTGGACATCGAAGGTAACTGTGCCAACACATCATCATCATCCATATCCATGATCAATCCACTGCTGTTGTACGTGAGCTGGCTGTGTCTAGTGGTCGCCCCTCTATGGCATTCGAGAGTGGTGTTCAGGGCCTATGAGGGTCTGTGTTGGTCGTGTAGGAGGGGCGGGAGAGAGGTTTGATCCGTTCACTTGTTCACCTGTTGGTCTCATCCGCCCCGAGGTCGCGTGTGGATTTCCCCTGCTCAAAAGAGAAGAGTAATGTTGGGAGAGTGGTCTTTTGAAATCTCATCCTCACATCTTCGTTCACACAATGCACAATGCAAGTGCATGCATTGTGCATTGGCTATGCATCTGGTAATTTTTTCATCAAGATAATTACACTCAAGGCTCAGATTGAGCAAAGCATTCACATGACGGCCTTTGATGGTCAAGATTTGTACCTGTAAAGTAATATACATCTGAATACACCATGGTTTATTTTGTTATAAATATAACTACTGTTTGTATAATAATACTAATACTGACTTGTCCACACCTGACCAGATGGGCATGTGGCAGAGTGCGCAACTCAGTCAGGAGGTTGATGTTCTACTCGGTCTATTTTTGATCCAAGGTCAATAAATCAAGTACTGCTTTCTAGAAAGTTGATCGTGGTTTTCATGTGAAGTGACTGGTTCTTGGCATCATAGTGTGGCTTTCCACCATAAGCTTCGGGGCCACCATATCGCCCAACATGGAGACACCAATGCTGGATTTACACGCATCGCTATGGATTCTGAGGCGTGTTCGCGCACCCTGCGTTCCATCGGCGATGCAGGCCAGATCGGACAGAACCCAGGGCTGTGGGCCATCTGGGAGGACGAGAAGCAGCGGCGGCGCGACGCCGGAGACTCCTCACAGATCGGCGTCCCAGCCTCGCAGGGTACGGCGAGTACGGCGAGCTGGCCGCTCTCACCGTGCTCTCGCCCCGCTCTCACGCCGCTCTTACTCCGCTCTCACCCTGCTTTCACCCCGCTCTCACCCCACTCTCACCCCAATCTCACCACGTCCAGAGAGTCGTTGGGAACATTGCGATCTGTTGCGGCGGCTTCATTGTGGTTGCTGCAGTTGAAATCTTTCATTTGACCCCAAGATATCCTTGGTTCTTTCGGTAATGTCACGTAGATAGGTTCAAAGAAAATAATCAAAAATACCAGAAAACTACTGAATTCCTGCAGTCACAAAAGCTTTAAGTCAAGATTTGATGCCAAGAGTTAGGATGAACCCTTAAAGATAAATCCTTTGAGGCACATGAAACATTACCTCTTTTGCAAGGGTGACATGACAAGAACAATGAAGAATGCAATATTTTAAAACAAATTCAATTGAAACACATTTTTTGACTGATTCTAACAATATATGAATACAGTACGATGTGAATTAGGCTAGATAAAAAGGTAAATTGCACAAAAAATATACTTAAAAAATCGAATATAACTGCAGGCAAGGAAAGTGACCAGATTAGGCAAGTAGAGGTAGTGCAGAAAGTCCGAACAAAGGGGCTCAGGCAGCCAGGAAACTTGAAGGCAAGCAGTCAACCCAACCCTTTACAAACATTTAGGTTGAGCCTACTTATTACGTTTTGTATGTTTAACTTCTTTCGCACCATACATAGCCAACCACTCTAACTCTGACAATCGCATTTTGTAATTTCACCATTGTTATCTTTGCTTGAACTTCATGATTAAATCTTAATTGCAAGAGCATTTTACAACATGCATCGACTTTTAATGCGTTATTTTTCACAGCCGATATGATATTGGGGCGCCGCGTTGGCGAGAGGTTAACTACCTCACCTGGTATGCAGGAGGTCGTGGGTTTGATCCCAACCCTGATGCCTCTATATTTGGAGTTTGCATGTTCTCCCCAGGTGACTTGGATTTTTCTCCAGGTCCTCCAGTTTTTCTCTCCACATTTAGAAATCTGCGTTTAGAGTATTTGGATGCTATATATTTCCACATGATAAGCCACTTCATTGAATTATCATTGCTAAAATACAAAGTTAAGTTAGTTTTAGTTTAGCTCATGATTCAAAATAGATTTTTGGTTTAGGCTGTTATGTACTGATGTGACCATGCTTGAGCTGAATCAGTCATATGTGGCGCATGGTGAAACGCTTGTGCAGCAGCAATTTAATTACTTTGGCTGTGTTGGGTGGTGGAGGGTCTTGATGACACAAATTTGTTTAGATTATTTCATGGCCTCACCCAAAATATATATAATAAATCATGGATAGACTTGTAATTCAAAGACAGTATTTCCTAACAAATGGGTGATGCACTTCATTTAACTTATTTATTTGTGTTTATTTTGATGTATTACTCCCATTTAGCCAGTTGTTGGCTATTTTACAAGGGAGATCTGTAGTGCATGAGCACAGCAGCAGCAAAAACATCGAAATTAGAGAGAATGAGTTCAGGATCCTTAAGGAATATTGCACAACTAACAAACGAGGTGTTTGATCATCATAACAAAACACATGAGAAAAAAATATTGGTAGCAAACATAGGTGTAACAATACCGTATGTACACAAAGACAAATATTCCCCATATAGTCTTCACAGACTGTTGGGGCAAGTGCTGTTAGCACTTATGAAGGCCAGCATGGCACACAAGAGGGTGGGTGGCCAGCACCACACCCAACCACATTTTTCTCCCCAATGGCAACATTTTTACACACCGCACCAGGAGTCTGGTTCCGATAATTGTCACTGGTGTTGGCCATTAATGGGAATAGAACTCAGGTTGCTGGGTTCATAGCACAGCACGCTAACCGCTGCACTACCACTCCCCACATACACATACACACATGCACACACACGTATTAACATACATGCACACACAAGAGAATCTTGGGACTCTGTGAGGCTTTGCTGGGTCAACAAGCCTAATCATTTGTAACAATAATAATTAGTAAAGTATATATCTTAGTGTATTGTATAGTCAAGTCTTTGATTCGTGGAATTTGTTTTTTTCAGCCCGTTTAATTGAAGACGATGGTCAAAGAGAGATCGTTAAACAAATACAGGAAATGTTGCAGCGCTATTCGTCTTGGTGAGTAAATCAACTGACGAGCACGGTTGGTTACATATGGTGAGAAAGAAGTTCAGCATACATATGTTGTGGCATAGTGCTGGCTGCTGGCGAAAAAGGGGATCTGCGGTGTACGCTGTACTGACGTCAGCAAGCCATGATATCCACGAGAGGGGGATCTAGGGGAAAGGTCACAGAAGGGGCCCACTGGAGAGCCTCGGGAACCCGCTAGTAGGTTCCAGAAAGGGGGCATGGCCGGGGCTGAGCGAGGCCACGCTGAGAGTATAAGAGGGGACCTCGTGGCTGTTGCTGGAAGTGGGATCCCCGTTGTGCTGCTCAAGTCCATCGTCACCATTCTTCTCGTCGACATCATCATTCTTCTCGTCTCGTCTCCGTCTTCACCATCCTGGGGCACCGCTAGTCAAACAGCCTTCCAACTGTTATAACTAAGTAGTGCCGCCGATAATAGACGGTCTTAATAAATAATGCGTTATCCCGATGGTGCTTGCTAAATAAAGAAGTGCCTCTAAGTCTAACTGTCTCCGAGTTAGTCACAACATTTGGCGTCAGAAGTGTTAAAAAATTTGTCATGTCAAAAGAAGAACCTACCTGTAGTGTCCTAGGGAGACGAGGACGACGGGGACATTATCCCCTCAACAGCCCCGGAATCCAGGACTCCGGTCATGTGTCCCGAGGCGGCGGCACCTGCGGAGCAGCGAGAGCAGGACGTCGGCCCCTCGGAGCCGCCGGCCGAAGAGGGATGTCGCGACCTCACCGGGCGCCTCGCACACCTGCTCTCCTCTGCTGCGCAGCTGGTTGTTCAGCTTGAGTCGGCTGCGCCTACCGGAGGAGCCGCGGCTCAGGAGTTGCAGGCGGATGGCTCACCACTGCTGTGCCAGCATGGGAACCGGCGGGTTTCTCGCCCGAGCTGGCGGCCGCCATTTCGCCCACTACAGGCACATCGGAGAAAGTGGCCGCCATTTTGTCAACGGAGCGGGAGCTGACTCCCGCCAAATTCAAGTCGCCATCGGCGGCTTCCGCGGGAGCGCCAATTCAATTAAGGCACCTGCCTCCTGTCCGTGAGTTCGTGGCGGCGACTGGACGGCGTTTCAAAGCTGCCTGCACCATGGTCGTGTGATCTGACGACGTTCTGTGGGCTCTGCTGACAGCTCTGGATGATGACTCTTTGGCGGCGTTTGAGGCCATCCCGCTGGAGGATCGAGCGACTCTGCCTCGGGCGTGCGCTCAGATGGCCGCCATTTTCGACCCGCTGTCCAACGCATGCCGAAGATTTGTGCTGCGGAGGCAGGGGAAGGCCGAGATGCCTCTTCCCTTCTGCAGCGCGTTGCTCGCCTTGGGTCATGCAGCGCATTCGCGTATGGAACAGATAGCCCTGGATTGCCTGGCGCTGGAAAGGTTGCTGTCGCTGGGCCAGGAGTTGGGCTTCGCTCTCCCCATCACGGAAGAGGATGACCTGTCGCACCTAAAGGTGGCCCGCTGCATCCAAGGGCATGTCAACCTACGGGGTGGTTGCTTGCCACCTCGCGGGTGCCGGAGGATCCGGAGAAGCCTGCACCACGGGAACTGGAGCGGGCCTGCGCGTCGTTCACCTGGGGCCCACGCGGGAGAGGAGTCGAGGGTCGATGACCGGAGCGAGAGAGACGGGAGAGGGGGGGGGGGACCCCCTTCCAGCATGGAGGTCCACAACCGCCTGCTTCAAGTGCGGCCAGCTGGGCCACATCTCCCGGGGATGCCGCAACAGAACCGGATTGCCCGCCTTGCCTACAACGTCCTCCCCCCAGCTGACATCCGCTTCCTTGGCCTCGCGGGACCCCAGCACCTGAAGTCTGGAGATCCCACGACAGCGCCTATTTTTAATGGACGACGTGTGGAGGCCCGGTTGCCATCTTCTTCTCTCAGGGAGGGGCCGCATACTTCAGGCCATTTATGTGATGTCCCGGTGGTCCCCAGCATGCAAGTTCCTGCTCAAGATGTGGGACCGGCGTCAAGGACTCACTCGAAGAGGGCTTTGTTCCGCTGAACCGCTCCCTTCCCGTTGTTCAATTGTGTTCCGACATCGTCTGGCCACAGCTGCGAGCCGGGCTGTGGCTTCCGGTTGACCTGGGGTCCTTCCCGATGCTCGTGGGCTGTGGCACGCCGGCGGGCGTTGGAGTTCGCTTCCCTCATGGTTTCGGGGTTAATAGTTAAAGGTTTTTTTTCTCACGTTCGTTAACCCTCCCTGTTAGGTGAATTGCGTTGTCAGCCAAGACGGCTGTTTTTTTTCACGGGGGGTGAAGTAGTGGCATAGCGCTGGCTGCTGGCAAAAATGGGATCTGCGGTGTACAGCTGTACTGAAGTCAGCAGGCCATGATATACACTAGAGGGGGATCTTGGGGAAAGGTCACAGAAGGGGCCCATTGGAAAGCCTCGGGAACCCGCAAGTAGGTTCCAGAAAGGGGGCGTGGCCGGGGCGGAGCGAAGCCACGCTGAGAGTATAAGAGGGGCCCCTGTGGGGGACCTCGTGACTGTTGCTGGAAGTGGAATCCCCATCGTGCTGCTCAAGTCCATCGTTACCATTCTTCTCGTCGTTGTCGTTACCATTCTTCTCGTCTTGTCTCCGTCTTCACCATCCCGGGGTGCCGCTCGTCAGACAGCCTACCAACTGTTCTAACTAAGTAGTGATGCTGAAAATAGACGGTCTTAATAAATAGTGTGTTATCCCAATGGTGCTTGCTAAATAAAGAAGTGCCTCCAAGTCTTACTGCCTCCGAGTTAGTCACACCACATACACATATATCACCTGTGCTTCATGGACATCGCTTGTGCAACATGGAAGGAACATACACAGGCATATACGTTCCAGACTGAAGGAGAATGTCACGAGTATGTTAACTCACTTCTTTGTAAATGAGTATTTTTGTTACATTGTAATAATATATACAGGGTGGCTCAAAAATCATGATGCATATGGTTATTTAATTAATTTTTACACCGGTATGAAAACATTTTAATTGTTTGTTCTTTAAGTTAATATTTGATCTATTATTGTTATTAATATCTATTTTTCTTCTTCCTGTGGGGTCACCTCAAATTTGTCTGTTACAAAACTCGACCAAGAACCCTGAATGAATTACACACCTATGATCTTAAATAAGTGCAAAATGAATTAAAAACTGAATTAATGCATGTGTCTTGTGTAACAAACACGGAGGCGCACACATTATAAGCCTGCTAGACAAACTATGAACACTCTGAGTCTGCTAAGCTAGGTGTGGCTATCTGTTGCTATGTGCGTGTGAGTTAAACTAAATGAACGGGTCAGCAGCACACATCCCGCCTGATTGGTAATGAAGGAGTGCCGTCAGGCGGACAAAAGAGGTTTGAGACGCCACGCATACATGAACCAGCGCCTGTGTAGTGTTGTAAGGACGAGCAGACTTCTTTAGGAGGCACACTCTGTTTATTGTATTATTTCCTTATACATCGCTTAACACACACAGAGGGATATTCGGTCCCCTCACCCGATACCCTAGGGAGGTAGCCTCCAGACTTGGCGGGACTCACACGTCTACCGCTAACCTCCTTGATACCTAAGGAGGTACAACCTCCGGACTTGGCGGGACTCACACGTCTACCGCTATCCTAGTCCTCCGGCTAGGACCTAGGGGAGGCTATCTGACCCACCGCTGGCCCGGTGGGTCCTGACCACTGGGTATGCCGAGCCTTAGCCCTTAGAAGGGCTGAAAGGCTGGTCCAGGGTCCTAGCTAGGCTTCAGCCCAGTCTTCTATCTTTGTGCAGGGAGAGAACTCCTCGAGGTCTGTTGGGTCACCCGTCTTATACCCCTTCGTGGCCAGGTAGAACCAATCACACATTCCCACGTGGAACCGGCTGATTGGTTCGCACCAAACCCTGGCCACGATCCGTTTCACCTCGACTGACCCCAACCGTTGTACCCAGGGGTAATGCTGCACTGCCCTGGTGGCAACGCAGGTTACGCAACAGCGCGTAGTTAACACCTCTACATCACCCCCTCCTTCGGAAGCTCCAGCCGTCCCGGCTGCAACAATGGGAACTCCGAAATTACCAACGGTAGAAGAATTGTGAGTGTGCCTCACGAACAACAAGAACAATTAAACCCCTATAAATACCCCCCTTAACATAACGTATGTACAAGGCACTAGACATGCCAAAAAAAACATTATAACAACCGGCGAGATTTCGCGCGCGTGCGTTTCGCGGGACCATCGTAGGGGATGGCAGGCTTTGTTGGCGGCACAAGGGAAGGAGGAGGATGAGCCAGAGCATCCGGTGGGCCTTTAGGCATCTCCACGGGGACACCTGCTGCTCCACGGTCCATTGAGGCCGAACGTGGCCTGCATGGAGCCGTCACTCCCGCGTCATCTGCAGGAGGAATGACACGCCTGCGCTGCGGGTTAGGCACCAACGGGGCAACATCTGGCTCGTCGGACGCGTCGCACACTCGGCCCCCATGTCGTGTGTGTTGTGGAGGGACGCGTGGCGTGACGAAGGGTTTTAACCGAGAGGGGTGAACGCACCAGCGACGCCGTCCCCAGCGAATTTTAACACATTGGGGACGCAGGACTTCCACTACCTCAACCGGGCCTCGCCATGGTCTGAGGAGTTTGGCCGACGTGGACACCGGCACCTGGGGGCAGTGGAGCCATGCCCTGTCTCCCGGTGCCCACCGATGCGTGTACGACCGAGGGTCCCGCAGTCGCAAATTCGCCCGTTGGCGGGAAGCCGAATTTTCAATGGCGGCCTCCCGTGCCTCGGCCAACTTACGGAGGTTGAATCGCAAGTGGTCAACGAGCTTTGACTTTTGCGGTGGCTGTTCGATTTCCAGCCGAACGTCGGCGGGAGGAAAGGCATCCCTGCCGTACATTAGAAAGAACGGGGAAAATCCCGTCGCCGCGTGAGGTGCCATACGGTATGCGGCGAGGACCCCCGGAACCTGCAAGTCCCAATCGAGGTGGGATTCATCGACCTGATGGCATAACAT